GCTCCATTCAAGATTAAGTCCAAATGCTAACTCAAAGACATCCATGACTAATTAAAATATAGAAATGTCTTTCAATAAATATTGATACCTACCCTTTTTTTTTTTTTTTTTTCTTTTTTTGGTAGCGTTTTCATTAATTTCAACTTATTAAAACTTTTCATACGCTATTCTAATTATTTTAATTTTTAATCACAAATTAATTATAAATTAAGTAAAAAAAATTTATTTAGGGTTTAAGTTTTTGATCATATTGGTTGGTTGATACAAATTTTGTATAAAAAAAATAATCTTAAATTAAAAAATAAAATAAAATATTCTAACAAAAATAAATTTTATATAATTTAAAAAAAGTATATATATGTAAGGCACGTGAAGAGGGAAAAGCAATAAAGCAAAATCCTGAAAGTCCGTGGCTTATGCACGTGCTGATCCAACACCTACTGCACAATCCATGGCCTCGTTTGACTAATTTAATTGCCTCTTTGGGATCGGGAATTATTATTATTATTATTTTCTCTTTCTTTTAATTATTTCACACCCTAACCCAAACGGATTCTCACGCTATCTCCTTTTTTTTTCTATATATATATATTTGTTAAGATTATATTTAGTGGTAAATTATTTTACAAAAACTAATTCCACAAATTTTTTATTGTAAGTTATATGTATTTATTAATTCCACAAATTTTCAATAATTTTTTTTTATTAACATATATGTATAATTTAGTGATTGTCACATATATGTTATAAGGTTTTCCATGACTTTGATAATGAAAGAATTATTTTGGACAATTAAATTTATGAAATATATAATTACAAGGGATATTTGCTGATAAAATAATAATTATCTCTAAGGAACCATAATCATATATCACCAACATAATTTCTGGTTAAAATATAATGATTAATCTCGCATTTGATTTGTGATTAAATAAAATATCATCTTATTGTTAATCTCCCAAGGCCTTATCACATGTCTTCGCAACAACGGGGAGCAATAAATCATAATTAAAATTAAGATTATGAAAATTTTATAATTCATATTTTTTTTTCATAAATTCTTTCAATTCCTATAAACATCAATGAATCAAGCATTTTTGCAAACCAATTACTATGGTTATGTTATATTTTGTTAAATTTGATGTGCGTGAATCTTTTGTAAAAAAAATATATTATGATATTAATTTTAATAAGAATTTAAATTTAAAACAAGCAATTGAACTTAAACTATTAAATATATTATTTGAGATTTTTAAGATCAAAAAGTTAGTTTTATCCAAAATATTGAAAACTTTAATTCTACCTTAATCTATTAATTATGTGTTAATCATTAGAAGTCATTTTATAATTTTTGTTTTATTAAAAGCTTTTTTAAATTCTTGAATAATAATAGTGACGATAGATAGTAGATATAGGTTGTTCGGAGACCAAATCACCGTCTCTTTGTATTTATTTTATTTTATTTAATTTATGACAAATTACAATTTTAGTACTCAGTTTAATTTTGGTTAAATAATATAACACGTCATTATTTTTATGTGTTGAAAAAAGCTCACACATTACATTAACCAAACTCTAAAATAAAATTAGAAATTTTATTGCATTAAACTTCTACAAAATTTATTTTATTTTTTATTTCTTAATTTTAAATTTTATTATTTTTTATCTTTAAAAATTTTAATTTATTTAATTATAAAATATCAAACTAATGGTATTATATTAAATGATTAATAATTAAATATTAAATTCTTAAACTGTTAAAATAAATATCATGCATTGAGTCTTGAAAATTCTGAATTATTTATTTATTTATAAAAAATTAAATTATTTACATAATTATTAGATCCTCCAGTTAGGGTTTACCATTGATTTGTATAATAAAATAAAGATTTGCCAACTGATTAGAATGATTTAATAAGCTTGAAAACGAAATACCGTCGATGTATTGTACTTACGTAACTGAAACATGTGTGTGTCTATATATATATATATACATGTATACGTATATATGTATGCATGTATAGGGGATAGTGATTAATTAGCGATAGCTGGTCAAACACGGTGGTGAAGTGGAACAGGAAATTATATTTGTGACGCATATGAGTATATATATAATTATGTACGTATGCATGTATATATTTATATATGGGGAAATAGAAATTACAGGTTATTATTGGGGGGATGCCGTTACCTTCACGATTACATTAACCAGCTTTTATTTAAGCCCTTTATTATAACCCCTTCAACATAGCGAAATTATATATTAGTTCTTATTTTATTTCACTATCTATTCTATAATAATAAAAAAAATATATATTTATTTATTTCATTAATGTACCTTAAAGAGGAGCCATTAATATATTCTTAGAAAAGAAAACTGAAGCTACTTCAATGCATGCAGTATCCAGAGTCTTCATTACATTTTCTGTAGTTACTTATATACAGTTTGAATTATATAGCGTCAGATAAGATTTGCAAGCTTTCATGAAAAACTAAAGCTTACATTCTTAAGATGTTGATAAGATTATTATTTGGATTCATTATTTTCAGAAAATATCAATATTCTTTGTAGAATAATATTTTAATAAATATTAAATCATCAAAGTATACGAATCTGAGTGATTTCAAAAGGGTTAATTTAGTTGGTAAAGAAATATTATAAATTTTGGTAATTAAATTTTATATTTAAAATTCTGAGAAGATTATTTTGAGAAAGCATGAGAAAACTGACTTAAGAATATTTTTTACTGCTAAAATTTAAACTAATATAACATTATGATTTTTCTTCAATTAGGATTTCAGTTAATATTATAAGGAAAAAGAAAAGCAATCTAAAACTATAAAATATATGTAAAATGACAGAATGATTAGATTATTATTTAAAAGGAACAATAGCTAAATATATTAGAAAATTACAAGAAATAAATTCACCTTAAAAACTTGAATATATAAAAATTCAATTTACACAACCAAGTAAAATATTTAAAAATCTATAAATTCAATAGCTTGGGCTTGAAATGGAAACAACCAATTACTTAACCCTAAATATGTTATTGTATTTTATTTAAATTCGTACACGAATCAAATCTGCTTTCAATTAGGATATTAGTGATCGCAAGTAACTATTGCTAACATGGACTTTGACATGGCATGTTTTTTTGCTTGCTTAATATTAATCTCTCGTTCAAAGCTCACCAACCAGATCAATTGCTAGTGTCAATATCAGAATAAACTTTCTCTTTTCCCAACTAGCTTCATTCTTCATTTTCTCTTGGCTTCTTCTTACACTAACTAATCTTGAGCTTTTCTTCTTCCCCCTAATAAAACTCAAGTTTCTTTTTGTCTTAATTTGACAAAACGAACTAAAGACTTGTTTGAGCTAGAAAGAGAAAGACAAACCCAAAACTTGTTTACTTTTACCAAATCAAATGCAAACTTTTCGCCATTAACAAAATGGAATCTATCTCTTAAACCCTATGTCACTTTTACTCCCGAATTTTAAATCTTCTTAAATCTAGTCTTGCTAATTCAAAAACTTGTTTTGAAATGCCCTCTTTCTCAAGCTCAAGGGACATTCATGCAGTCCATAAGCCTAAACTAGAATTTGACTATAAAGATAGTGTCTTATACCAATTATGAAGATAAAGCTCCACGATGGACTCCATGGAGTTATA